TAATTTTATTGTTACTTATTTGGAAAAGCACAACATTTGTTTGCAACATGCCTTCAATTTATTCATTTATGTAATTATTCGAGAAAATGTGTTTCATTTCGCGTATTTAAATAATTCGTTGTGAATACGTGTATGAATAACATACTTTTTGTTATAATAATTATTATAGTGGTTATTGCAACATAAAATCAATACATGCATTTATGTCATTATCTCGAAAAAGTGTTTCATTAAGTCATTACTCGATTTTAGACAAATCGTAATTATGTGCATTTATAGCATGATTTTTGTGAAATATTAATACAGTTGCTGTTCTGTAGATGTGTTTACTTATATCAGTCTAGTTTGTCTGTCTTTTACATTTGTGTATTTTTTTACTTATTTTTAAAGTGTTCGTTGAGAATATGCGCATGAATAACATGTTTTTTGCGGTACTTATTACAGGTGTGTTTGTAGTCTCGATATGTGTACTTATGTCAATCTGCTTTGTTTAGTTTTCTGTTATTTACCTTTCGGCTTAACATACTGATTACTTTTCCTAGAATATAGCTGATATATTGCTGATACGACAAGACTTATCTCATTCATTTATTTTTTTAAACACTTTTTTTATTTTATTTACCTTGAGAACGACATCAAATTCTCAATATTTAAGGTATTATAAGATTTTATATTTGTAACACCAACAAAATTTGAGCGTATATTGTCTTGTGCATTATTGACTCACAATGAAAGTGAAACGGAAAACAGATCAGCACCAGCTCGAGGGAGAATCTATTGACAACACTTATCGTTATAGCTTGTGACATTGGACTCTCTCCTTTGAAGTTCTGTATTGACTTGTGAACGTTTCTGTAACCGTTAAGGGGGCCATGTACGTAAACTTTATATTTAAACAGATAAACATTAAATATGACGAGGCATTAGTGCGGTTGGCTACATCATGTCATACTCCTTCAATACCAAAAGGTTCATATTCATGTTAAGGGGACCGCCGCGTCATACCAAAAGACGTTAAAAGATGGTATTTGTTGTTACCCTGTCTGGCGCTCGGCATTAAGGGGCTAAAACAAGGACTGGTCGGCTCGGAGTCAGTATACTGTGTCTGAGTGGGGTATTCATGTTAAACTGCGACATGGTATTTCAGTGAGCTAGCACTACAAATCGGCATCAGTCCGGTCTAGTACAAGCAGCCACACACGTGCATGCACGTCGCTACATAAGTGCAATAATCTTGGACGCGACGTTAAACCCTATTTCACCTCACCTCATGTTAAGGGAGGGTGTTCAAACATCAAAGTCTCAGAAAAAGAATGTTACCATTCTTAACTCAACTGACTGAAAGCCTTATTAAAAACCCATTTCTAACTATTACTCAGCTGTAAGTAAAACCGAGGGGAAACAGAAAGTATACCCAGTCTGTTGTAAGTCTTTAAAGTGATACACATAAGGAAGATAAGTTGTGGATGTCAACTTCTTTATGGGGAACACAACGTTATGGTGTATATACTTACCCTTCATCAGTGAAAAAATGTTATGAGAGAGTTTTAATGATTTTACGACCGCTTCAGCTATTGGCTATTTCTCAGTCGGTGCCAGATAACGATAAAAATTGAATAGTTGGGAATAACAAGTAATCGGCTGGCCCAAAAAACTGTAAATTAGGGGGGATAAAGGTAGAAGGAAAAAATAGTAAAGGGGTTTGAATGGGATGTAAATGTTATGAAGCAGAGAACAAATATATGTACCTGTAAGAACAACAAACGTAATGAGATAACGAAGATGGAAACTTAACAAGGGAAGCTAACAGTTAATTGGCGCTGAAAGGTGATTAGCAATGGACAAATGGAAGTTGACATCGAAACATTCTCTTCCCTAGTTTGTTTTGTTGGGTAATTGAAAATTGAAAGAACTGTTGTAAAATGTTGATTATGCCTATTTAACCATCACTCATTCCTGGAACAGATTGTAAAAAGTAAGCTGTGGCTGGGTAATATTGTGTCAAAGCAACTTGGTTCAATGAAGACTTGGGGTAGAATAGGTCTTCAGCAACCCAATGGCATGCTTGTCGTAAAATGCGATCATGCTTGTCGTAAGAGGCGACTAACGGGATCGGGTGGTCAGGCTCGCTGACTTGGTTGATGCAAGTCATCGATCCCAATTGCGTGGATCGATGCTCATGGTGTCAGTCACTTGATTGTCTGGTCCAGACTCAATTATGTACAGACCGCCGTCATATAGCTGGAATATTGGAATATAAACAACCAACCAACCAACCAATGAAGACTGGAGTGAGAACTGAATTTGCAACCACATCACCCCTACCATGTTAAAAATGTTGTAAATTTGTCCCGAAACAAAAACAACCGCAGTTTACGAATCGGACGTTGATTTCGTCACGCGATTTTGATGGGACTATGCATAGATTTGTAAGTGCAGTCAAATCATAACTCCACAATTCCAGTATAGTTTGTCAAGGGTGGAAACTGGAATTTTATAGACAGTTGCCCCCTTGCCTTGGGAAGATGTCCGCACCCTCTACACAGAACACATGGACAGAGGGAGTATATGCATGATTTGATTTTCAAAGATAAGATGTCAAAGATGCACATCAGCAGTAATGTATTATGCTATTTGTGTTGTTTATTTTTTTTTTTAAATTGAATTTTATTTTAAAAACAAAACCGTGTAGAAGTATTCTTAGTGTGCTGGGCGCCAGTGAATTCATTTTTGGGATATGATACTGCTAACTTTTCAGTTGAAAATCAGATATATTTGCCCCTCAGTTTATAAGTATGTTTGTTTCTCCTGATGATGACATCATATTTTGTTCAAATCATTATAATTTGATTTATCATTATAATTTTAATTTGTGTTTCTTTTGTTTGAATGTCAATGCTGAATTCTTATTAGTAGTACTGCTGTAATGGCATAGTGAGTTTCATGCCTTTTTCTGACATCCTATAGTTTCTAAGTAATGATTTTATGTCAATAAACATTTTTTTATTTTTTGTTTTCTGTTACACATCATGGAAAGCACTTCTGGGGTAGTCTTGTGGATGAAGCGTTCGCTCGTCACACTGAAGACCCGGGTTCGATTCCACACATGGGTACAACGTGTGAAGCCCATTTCTGGTGTTCCCAGCCGTGATATTGCTAGAATATTGCCAAAACGGCGCAAAACCATACCCACACTTCTCTGAAAACCTTCAAAATCTGTATGTGTATGCCATTATTTGCTCACCTAACTGAAGGTCAAAAGAGCCTATATCTTGGCGCATTGTCGATCGTCATCCCGTCTTTTTGCCAATAACGTTTTCATTATCTACATCTAAACGTCTATGAAGCTGACACTTGACCTAAATGATCCTAGATTCTAAATGACAGTCGAAAACTACACAAACAACATTGATCCCGACACTGCAGCCATATTGGCAGTTATCCAATAGTGCTGTGCAAGCCACTAGGAACATGTATTGGCCCTCTTCATAGCCGAACATGAGAGACCGTTCCATGCTTAAAAAACTTCTTTATTACAATGACTGCTGCGTTTCGGTTTAGATACTAGATTGTTTAATAACGGTGTCAGTATCTACACCGGTTTGTTACCACTGTGCCGGCAGATAATTCGGATTAATTAAGATTAATCAAGTTAATCCGGATTAGCCGTCATGCCTTGCGGCGCTGCCGGCACCAGCCAGGTACTGATTAGCTATGGTGAAAAGTGTTCACGAAATGTGTTCACAAATGTCAAGGATGAACTTTCGTGATAAGATTTAACGTGTCATTCTGAAAAATTAATTTGTTTGTGTGTATAAATGAGAAAGAACATCAAGAATCAACAAAATGACAACCAACCATCCCAACACTATCACTTTGATTCAATCTGAACAAAAGTTGACGGGAGTTACGATAAGCCAATTGGAATCGGGCGGTGGAAAACGACCAAAAAAAGTAGTGAACTCGATCGTCTAAAATGTGCCTGGTTTCTGGGACAAAATCTGTAATAGAATACTGAGATTCCGTTTCCCTTCTTGTTGGGTTATAAATTATTGTATGTCTGAAATCAATAAATTTAAGAAATTCATAAATTGTGTTCATAAAAGTGCTCATTTTCCATTGGACCAGAACTTCCGGCACGATAATCCCCATTTTAATCCTTCTATTGTTAAAGGGTAGATTAGCTAAATCACCCTAAACAATAGCTGCCGGCACAGTGAGAACACCCCTCTACACCGAAACGTCGCATTAATTGCACTACAGAAGTTGTATATCCATAGAATTATCTCCCTTGTTTATCATGCCAACTTGTAAATGTCACTAAAAGAAGTCTTCTTCATATAGATTATAAATGTGTTGTGGAATATTATGAATATCATGTGAGGATAAATACTGGTGTAATATGAACTCGACTTTCCCTTTTGAGAATACGTACCACTTCCGTGGTCTAGTGGTAGATCGTCCGGACAGCGGAAGGTCCGGGGTTCGATCCCCGGCCGCGTCATATCAAAAGGCGTTAAAGATAGTACTTGTTGTTACCCTGTCTGACGCTCGGCATTAGGGGTTTAACAAGGACTGGACGACACAGTCAGTATATACTGTGTCTGAGTGGGGTATTCATGTCAGACTGCGGCATGGTATCTCAGAGGGCTAGCACTAGAAAATCGGACTAGTACAAGCAGCCACATACACACGTGTATTCACGTCGCTATGTAAGTGCAATAATCTTAAACCCCATTTCAGTTAACATCAGGGGCGGTCGGGTAGCTTAGAGGTTAAAGCGTTCGCTCGTCACGCCGAAGACCCGGGTTCGATTCCCGACATGGGTACAATGTGTGAAGCCCATTTCTGGTGTCCCCCGCCGTGATATTGCTGGAATATTGCTAAAAGCGGCGTAAAACCTTTGCGAAAACGCTCTTCACTTATTGAAGCAAACGTAAAATCGTTTCCTTTATTCAGGCCACCAACATATACTTTCTAAAAATATTTAAACAATAAGAAATCATTCAATATTTATTCACACACAATTTCGCACTGTGTTATGCATGTCGAAACTAAAATATACAATAATCTGTAATAAAAGCATATTCATGAATTCATACATGTGTGTATACACATGGATCGATGCGCATGATATCACTGGATTGTCTGGTCCAGACTCGATTATTTACACACCGCCGTCATATAGCTGGAATATTGCTGAGTGCGGCGTTGAACGACAAACAAACAAACAAGCATACATGTGTGTAAACAAAACAAGAATCAATTATTTAATATCACAGTTTCGCTTATAAAACATCTGCCACAATCCCTTCTCAACAACGAAAACAGTGACAGTGTTGTATGTACAATCAACTCCGCATGGAACGAACTTAAAGGGACCTGCAAAATCATTTCGCTATATCCGAACAGTTACGCTACATACCACTCCTGAAGTCTCGCAATCGCATTAAAGCTGATAATTTATTCCGCTTCTCCACAAAGGGAAGCGGAATTGAAGCCGAGTCTTAGCTACACCCTACTTCGTGATTACAATAGTGAACTAACTGTTCATTAAGTTACAATTGTTTCGTGTTCCAAAATGACATTCCATCTGGTCAGTTAAAGGGACAATCCATCTGGTCACTTAAAGGGACATTCGCTCTGGTCACTTAAAGGGAATTCCATCTGGTCACTTAAAGGGACATTCGCTCTGGTCACTTGAAGGGACATTCCATCTGGTCACTTAAAGGGACATTCCATCTGTTCACTTAAAGGGACATTCCATCGCCCACCAGTCTAAAGTAGACCGATACAGTTATAGGGCCAGATTAGTCAAGTGGAAGAAGCGTTGCATCGATACGTCGGGGTTTGATTTCATGTTTATGGACAATGTGCAAGACCCGTTCAAGATGTCCCATTCAAGATATTGCAGCACATTGCTGGAGTTAAACCTCACTCACTTAAAAGGCTGATGTCGCAGCTTGTATATTATTACTGAGATCATAGTTTCTGACATATCTGTAACCGTAAACGTACAATTGGTGCTTTTTTTGTCAGGTGATGTTTAAGATAACAAAAAGAAACTTTGAACGAAGCTGTTTCTTTAGTTATGTTTTATGTATATCGGTATCAAGTTTGAAACTGAAACCCTTCGTTCGCAGGAATAATAATAAGAACGAAATAGCGAAATGAGTTGTATGGTGTAACGCCGCTTGTAGCAGCATTCGAGCAATAGCAAGCGGCGGACACCAGAAATGGGCTTCACATGCAATACCAATGTGAAGAATCGAACCCATGTCTTCGGCGTGACGAGGGAACGCTTTGACCAATTGGCTACCCTGCCATTCTGAGTATTCTGAGTTTGAAGGCTAGTCGGTGTAATACGGGTGGAAATTTGGATTCGGATCCGTTGATCCTTACACAACTAAGGTACGCAACTCTATACAACCAAGTACAGCTCCTTACACGACCGGGCCACCTGAGCAATGAGGAAGCAAGAGTAGTATCTTTTATCAGACCTCCCAGTTTACGAAATTGTGTACCCTTTTGCAGTCATTACCCTTAAATAAGTAGGTTAATCCACTTACGTGCTTGTGTATATTAAGCACAATACGACGTGTTCATTCAAGTCTAATCATTATAATCTTTGGTATTTAACTGGAGGCTAGATAAACCTAGATTAACTACGATGTGATAAGGCTGGCTACACTGGAGAGATTAAACCATATACTTAATACAGGTTACCACGGGACGTGCCTTAATGACACCTTTTATCCATGACTTGGTACGATTTGATTGTAACGAAATGTCTATCGGCAACGAATTTCACAATTAATGAATGGACGACTTTCCTTTCCAGTCTGTCGTCCATATTCAACAACCGTGCATTGAATATATTTTTATCTTGCATTCTAATGACTTGCATATGATTGCTATTATTTTGTACGGAGACCAGCTATGTTTCCAGCAAAGTCTGCTAAACCACATATTTTCGTTTCATTAAAAGTATAAGCTAAATGGGTTTGGGCTTTTTAAAACCCAGCTTGCGTTCGGTATCAGAGGCTGAGGTTATGAACGTCAAACTATGGAAGGAATACAGTTTAGATAATCCCACGTTCGTGATCATAGTAAGATCGTTTTGACAGGAAGTTCGACCCCTTCTGTGTTACGAATAAGTTGCCCTTCTACCACGGCCCGGCCCGATTCAATCCCAGAGCGAAATAAGACGAAATAGAACAAATCTCAAAATAACGACACCTGACAATCCTGCAATAACGTATTTACGGGTTTTGCGAACCGGGTAAAATATACTATATCAGTTTAAGTGAGTGAGTATGATTTTACGCCGCTTTTAGCAATATTCCAGCAATATCACAGCGGGGGACACCAGAAATGGGCTTCACACATTGTACCCATGTCGGGAATCGAACCCGGGTCTTCGGCGTGACGAGTGAACGCTTTAACCACTAGGCTACCCGACCGCCCCCTATATCAGTTTAAAAGGGACTATTATCAACTCTCTGGCACCAATTACCACCCTATGTATAAGCTTGGAATCAATGCCTTGTGTAAAACTCAGACAATGTGTGTAATTAAAGTAACTAGTCCAATGCTGAATTGGAAAAGATAAATGAAGATTTTGAAAACAGGATTTAGAGAGAAGTGAATCTCATTTGCTGGACCTACTGCCTCTTTAAGACGCCACGTTTCTTCTGTCATTTCGACTTCTTTTGAGCGATTTAGACGTTAGGGATAGAGCCATTCTAACCTGAGACAGCCACGTTTTGTCTTTGAAGGCGTTTGCTATCGACATTGACTCAAGCGCGCGCTCACGAGCTGTGCCTCCTTTCATGCGCGTGACGAGGTTGATGACGGGGAAGATGAAGTCCTCCTCTCTCATCCCGTTGAGGTAGAAAAATGGTCGCTGGTCCACTTCCGTGCTGACTAGCGGAAGTGGAATTGTTCCTTCCGTTGATTTAGCCTTAGAAAGCAGGACGGAGGACGACATCCGGTTTTTCTTCTTGCGTTTTTTGCCGTCTGAGAGATCATCTGATTTCAGTACTTCATCCGTGACGCTGGACGCTGACGTCATCGAAAACTCTGTGGCCACTTTACTCTTTGTATCACTCCGCTCCGAGTTCATAACATTAACATTTGGCATAGAATTGGACAGTTTGCTTCCCTTTGTCTGCAAGAAATATGCTCCTTTGCCTTTCAATAATCGCCCAATACCACCAAGCTTCTCAATCTTATCCCTGGCAGAATCACTGTCTGATTTTTGTGACTTTTGATCATCTTTACAAGCAGACATAAGGTTAGACTGAGAGAGACTAGGAATCTTCAATGGTCGTGATTTTCCTTTTATTGGTGGGAGTTTAACTTCTCCATCAGCAGCTATACTTCCGGTTGGTGTGTCTCTTTTCATCGTCTCAGGTGTCATTGTTACCGGAGAACGCGACGACAGCGATTTTTCTTCAACGTCACTGCAGCCGTCCTTGACGAAGGCCTTACTGGCACGTGACACCGTTTCCTTGACCCTCACCCTGTCTGAAAGCTTCCCCCATTTTGTCTTCTTTTCTCCTATCGATTTTAAAGCCGTCATTGCTCCAAGTTGCCTGAAGTAGACTTCAGGGTCTACAGCATCTATGGTTGTATCATACTCAATATGAAAGCCATGTTTTCTCTTTTCTTTGAGAATCTGAGCCTTCGGTTTCCCGGTCATCGGACTGGCCGAGAACCCGTCAACCGACACGCCATGGCCGACCAAAGGTCCCGTTGTAAATAATTTCCGTTTTAGGGAAGATTTAGAATGTCCATATTTGATGAAAACCTTTTCCTTAGCAGCGTCACACCATTGCTTTATTTTGGTATAGAGCGCAAGGTTTAGAGATATATCCTTCTTGAAGGTAAGCTTACTCCACTGCTTTGTCAATATGAAGGACGCACAATTTTTAACCTTCTTCCTTAGAGCTATATTCAAGGGAGCTAACCCATTGCCATCTTTCGCCATGAGGCAGGTTATATCATGATTCACGAACATCCTCAGTGCCCCAAGTTGTCCCATCTCCGTAGCCTCGTGCACCGGCGATTTCAGACTCTCGATGTGGGAGAGGTTGCTACACCACTGTCGTTGTGGATGTTCCCCAATCGGCTCGTCACACCGGACGCCGTACCTCAACATGCAACGAGCCAGATCCACGTTACCACAATGAGCAGCCACAAACAGCGCCACCTTCATCTGGAAGCGGCCGATGACGTCATCAGGGGCGATCTGGGCGACCACCTGGGGCGTGAAGCCAAGGGCGCAGAGGTTGAGGAACTCGTTCCAGCCGTCCCAGTTGTCCAGTTTGATGGTGTGGCCGGTGTCCACGCCGTAGTCCTCGAGACGGTGGCCGTCGTACATTTCCTTGCCATCCGTTGTGGTCAACCGGAAGATGCTGACAGGGAGACCGGATCTTTTCGCTGCTAGTGATCTGCAAGTTGTTATAAATTAAGAGTATTAGCCGATTTTGTTTCCGGATCGTAAATATCATAGGAACAGAAATTGTATAAGTTAAGCCTTTGGCGAACATTATGCAAATCTTCTATTCCCAATAAACATAATTATTCCTAAAAAAACATTATCGTACACATCACATCTTAGAAATTTATAACGAGAGCCATTTGGCGAGCATAATACATATTTCTATTTCTAATACATGTATATGGTGTTTTTTATACGGAAACACACGAGGGCAATGAACTATTTATCGTTTAATGTCATTCTCAAAATAATCGATGTTTAAGACGTATCACTTAATGAAGTAACTTTAGAAACCTCGTATGAATACAGTGTTTGAGTAAACCGCCTCATTTATAAGATAGTGCCATGTGATTTACTATCATGTTTATCTACAGACATCTTCACATCGCGAAACTCCTCTCTGAAGTTATTGGGAACATCAGACAATAACGTATTGATCAAACAGACATTGCATCGGAATGTGGATCTAAAATGTAGTGGTGATGGTGCCCGCATTTCGCTGTACAGAGTTGCCTCCTTTTGGCACGCCCAAAAGTTAGGATTGTGTGTTCGAATCCCGGTTTGCCCCGATAATGCTTCTAGGTTCGTCAGAACCATGCCCGTGCTCGTGGGTTTCACCAAAGTGGACTTTCCTCCCACATTAAGCTTACACGCCTTGGAATAACTGGAATATTGATAAAAGCAGCCAACTCACTCGCTCACTCTGTGGTCTACACTTACCTGAGCTCCTCCACAGGTGTCTGGCCGATGGTGAGGGTGTCGACCACGTGGATGGTTTCATTGTTGTGGGAGCAGTTGATAAACAGCACAGGCTTGACCTCCTCCTTCAGCTGGATCCTCACAGTCGTCCCTGGGACTATCCCAAGGTCAGAGAACATCCAGTCGTCCCCCAGATCCGCCCCGGCGTACGTCAGCACCAGGATCTTCTTGTCGTGACGGTACACGTCCATCGGGATGTTCAGCCGCTCCTGGATCATCTGCTTCAGCTCGCGCACCGAGCACGTGGTCGGGACGTCCAAGGTCACGCGGTCTCCCTCGTAAAGGCCGAAAATCAACATCGTGGGAGGCGCTTTGGGCAGTGACTGTAAGGGTGATTTAGATAACTTGAGAACTCGATCCCTTGCGGAGGACTTACTCAGATGGTCAACAGAGTCCATTGACCTTTCTTCTGAGTCGCTACACTCATAGGTTTACGATCGTTTGTGGGCGACGAGAAACATGCATCCGCTGTGCGGTTATTGTCACTATAAATGTCAAGCAGGACACACGTCACAGGACCGTAGATGTCGGGTTAATGTCGTCCACGTGGTCACTTCCTGTTTTAATCAGCACCTACAAGAGAAAACATTGAAATGTTCAGGAGTTCACCTTGCACTCGAATGATCCAAGATTTTCAAACCAAGAGCGAAACTGTTAAGACTTCATATGCCATTCCAGAACCAACCAACCAACCCCATTGTTCCACCACAAATGTTTACTGGAATTGATCTATCAACATATAGCCATGGCATCTGAAACATAGGTACAGAGTTTATACCATGGTTCACCATCACACAAGGTACCGAGTTTATACCATGGTTCACCGTGACATTAGGTACAGAGTTTATACCATGGTTCACCATCACACAAGGTACAGAGTTTATACCATGGTTCACTGTGACAATAGGTACCGAGTTTATACCATGGTTCACAATCACACAAGGTACAACGTTTATACCTTCTGTTCATGTCAGTACCTTGTGTGCTCTGGTTTTGTTTTCACTCTTGAGTGGAGTAGTTTCCACATTTCAACTCTTGGACGACTATCAACAAAGCCTCCATGGCGGGTCGGATGCCCAGTCGTCTAAGGCGCCGCGATTCACTGTGCAGAGTTGCGTCCCTTGGGCAAGCCAGAAATCTATGATTGTGGGTTCCAATTCCTGTTCGCCCCCATTATGTTTCTAGGTTTGTCAGCACCATACCCGTGCTCGTGGGTTTCACCGAAGTGGTAAACGTCTGAGACCTTTATCACTTCGGGCTTCCCTCCCACATTAAGCTGACACGCCGCGATATAACTGTTATACGGTAACCCAACTCACTCACTAGTTGTAGCTTTAACCAAAGGGATTTGAATTTACAGTCTTCGCACATATTCGTTGTTAGTCCTGTTTTAACTGAGCCCACGTAACAGGCATGTAGAATACCGTCGACAAATCTACCTCTAACCCCTAATGAACTGTCACATGTCAACAGTCAACATCCAGAAATCGCTGTATCAACATGCCTGTTTACCGAAAGTATACACATCAATAACAAAACATGACGCTATTAGCTGTACAAACATCGTCACAAATGACGGACATATTCTGTTGTCCAAACGTACTGGACCATAGATCCCCACCGTCTACCGGTAACAACCATGTACAGTCAGCAAGCTGGCCCAAGGTCTTTAAGCACAATACCCGTGTCAGACGAATAAGCCTCTATTCACATTAATAAGAAGCGGAAAATCGGGACGGTATTTGTTTTGTGTGTGTATCGTCAAACAATCCACCCTCCCCGCAGAACTGATACCTGGACAATAGATGAAAGGGTCTTATATTTGAATTAATATCTGATTAATAGTTGTGTTGTACATTGTGGTGTGAGGAATGCAGTAAATAATCTTTCTTTATCGTGGTATGATAGGCTACAACGGGACTGGGGTAGAATAGGTCTTCAGCAACCCATGCTTGCCGTAAAAGGCGACTATGCTTTTCGTAAGAGGCGACTAACGGGATCGGGTGGTCAGACTTGCTGACTTGGCTGATGCATGTCACCGAATCCCAATTGCGTGGATCGTTGCTCATGATGTCAATCACTGAATTGTCTGATCCAGACTCGAATATTTACAGACCGCCGTCATATAGCTGGAATTTTGCGATGTTCGGCGTTAAACAACAAACAAAGAAACAACGCTACGAGACATCATGAATCGACTGTTTAGATGTGTTTGTATATAGTTATGTTGTAACCGTATTTGTCCTTAACACTAACGCTGTTGTTCTATGTTTAGGTCTAGATTACATGTTTGGTTCTTCTACTAGGAACAACAACAAATAGATGTTGTCAGGATTTATTTGATGTTAAATAAATATCTTGAATTGTTTTAACAGAACATTGAATGTTTCGAAATGTAATTGTTAAAAAATACATGTAAAAATATAATTGTTGAAAAGATATTTAAGTTTAATTTCTTTAAAATAAGTCTTAAATAAAAACAATGAGATGTTAAAACGATACATCAAACCACACAATTAAGGATATGCGTTTCCGTGAAACATTTATTAGTCTAGCCTCATCATAGAAAAGGAGGGGGCACGGGGGGCCAAGTCGTCTAAGGCGCCGCGATTCGCTGTGCAGAGTTGCATCTCTTGGGCACGCCAGAAATCTATGATTGTGGGTTCCAATCCCGGTTCGCCACAATTATGTTTCTAGGTTTGTCAGCACCATACCCGTGCTCGTGGGTTTCACCGAAGTGGTAAACGTCTGAGACCTGCATCACTTCGGGCTTTCCTCCCACATTAAGCTGACACGCCGTGATATAACTGGAATAATGTTAAAAGCGGCGTTAAACTGAACTCACTCACTCACTCACTCACTCACTCACTCACTCACTCACTCACTCATTGGAAAGGAACAGTATGGTGTAAATGAGCAGGCATTGTTGAAAAAGTCTCAGATTGTTAATAGCTAATTTGATATATTAAGTTCATATAAAACAGTGGATGACTAATAAATCATCAACTGTCAGAGATCGTGGGGTACAGCTATAGGATTTAGAGGGAAAGCAATTCTAAACATGGTATGTACTACTTTCCAAAGATAAAGGTGTGTTAAAATATATTTTTAAAAATATTTAAATAATATATATATATCCCATTTTATAGTCTCAATATCAGTCTTCAAGACACACAATGGAGCAGTCTCGACCTCATAACGACAGATAATGCTCTGTATTTACGACTTCTAATATTGACATAGATTCGTCAATCTGTTTATGAAAGAGACCACTAGAACAGTTATCCATTGTTGACTATGTTTGATTTATTATCTAATAATGTGAATTTCACCGACCAACTCCGACCCCCTGTTGGGTCCCGAATCTAATCGAATGTGTCTCGAGCTGGTTTGAGATTATTCCAGAGCAGACCTGAGACTTAACTCAGCGTTAAGGCGTTGTGTTATTTACTGATTGAACGGTAGATTTAATCCAAAGGCTGTCGTGGCGTGTACCAGCAACATATCAATGTTAATAAAGCTTGTTAGTGACAGTTGTTGTTAGGAGTACATTGTTTACTGGCGTGATTAGTCATATTAATTCAGGGTATTTGACGGTGTACCTCTCCAACCGGGCAATACATAAATAAATACGTCAAAATAATAACTTCCCAGACTGTTGAGTTCATACAAAAACTATAGGCAACAATTGGAAATCAGTGACAAAGCCCCACCCATTGTTTGTGGCCTAATATAATTTTTTTTGAAACTTAAGCTCAGTTTATGTTTATCTTTTAAATGCTTGGTGGGCCATCCAAGGCCTCAAAAAGTTTTTAAAAAGATTTTATGCCTTCAAGTCAAGCTAACCATAAATCTAGAGAAAAGAAAATGTATATAATATTATACAGTCGGTTATCATAAATATCTTCATTTTCATGGATATTGGGTTTCGTATCCCTGTTCTAAAAATCCAATCCAGTTTTTCGTTTTTAAAAATTAAATTATCACTTATATTTTTTACAAATTATTATTAACATTTTAATTACACACGGATTCAAATGTGACAATACATAAAAGCATATGGCATTCTTACAGAACGTCAAAACTATTCAAGTTATCAAATTTAATACGTCACATAAACGGCCTGATATCTGTATCCTTGTCTTCAAGTATGAAGCGTATACATAGTTTTAGCTTTCTTGCTTCGGGTAATATACCTGATAATGTACACGTATATATTTACACTGTAATACAGATCCAACAATACACGTTCATATCCACAATGGCGTCTATAATACCTCATTCAACTTATCAGGTATAGATACGCCATCATCAGACTTCCCGTTGGCCGTTCGGTTAATGACCCTTAGCTCTCTATTGACCCGGAAACACATGCAAGGTCAGGGGTCAGAGTAACACCTACAATCAAATGTTACAGAATACAAAACCCACACATTCTGCAGCTATAATAATGGTATATAATTCCCTGACACGTTAGAGTATTTTAACTCAACATGATCGCTACACTGTGATATCTGATTTTATGCTTCGTGATGGTCGGCAACAACGTGTTTCAAGATGGCGGTCGGGAGGCAGGGCATTGATAGAGTCACGTAACTGCCGATGTAGTTCAGAAGTTTAATACGCACTCCAGATAGACAAGAGATATTGTTCGCCACGCATGACTTGCTTCATGTAATAATCGTGCGAGGGGACGTCATACGGAAGCCTTTTAGGGCCATTTGATTTTTTGATTTCTTTCGATACCATCTTGAAATTTCAAGATATTAAGTTGAAATTTCAAGATACTAAGTTGAAATTTCAAGAAACTAAGTTGAAATTTCAAGATACTATCTTGAAATTTCAAAAAAACTAATTTGAAATTTCAAGATACTATCTTGAAATTTTAAGATGCTAAGTTGAAATTTCAAGATACAGAAGTTGAAATTTCAAGACATTAAGTTGAAATTTCAAGATACTAAGTTGAAATTTCAACTTAATGTCTTGAAATTTCAACTTCTGTATCTTGAAATTTCAACTTAGCATCTTAAAATTTCAAGATAGTATCTTGAAATTTCAACTAGTTTCTTGAAATTTAAGCTTCTGTATCTTGAAATTTCAAGATAGTATCGAAAAAAATAAAATACAAATGGCCCTAAAAGGCTTCCGTACGTCAACTCGTGTTATCGCGTCGCGATTGAACGAAAGATTGCCGCCATGTCATAAAAAATGGGTATTTGCCTGACACACGAGATCTAATGTTATTCCACGAGGGATTCCGGTGCACAAAAATCTGCCAATGTTTACTGTAGTTTTTTATTTGTAGACGATCGTAGAAGAAGAAATACGCTCTAAATCCTACAGTGCACAGTGGCAGATCTTTCTAACGATACAACCCGGAGCCCGGAGATAAACAGAAAAGTTGATATTTACCATGAATGGATGAATTGAAACGTAAGCTTCGTCCTGTTGCCGAGATAAAGCGGAGATGTTGTGGACGAAGGCGCAAAACAAGAGTCTTCTACTACGTGGACTCGATTGGAATCGAAATTAGATTCTGGAAGCAAAATATAAATTGGCATTACCTAATTAGGAGGAACTTTAAAAGATAGCTCACCTTACACACTCAAAATGAAGCAGTGTCAGTCTCGCCTATTTCTAGACCTTGTAATAAGCGTCATTTTGTTGAACTGAGACCTGTGTAATTAGGTCACCTACTGTTATAATCTCATAAGCACCCGTGGAGATTCCGGGTAAGAATATAATTCTCCAGCAACCTTTGTTTGTAGTAAGAGGCGACTAAATGGATAGGGTGGTCAGACTCAGTGACTTTGTATACTGCATGTCATCATATCCCATTTCGTAGATCGATGCTAATGCTGCCAATCACTGGATTGTCGCGCAGATTCGATTATTTACAGACCGTTGTCATATAGCTAGAATATTGCTGCGGGCGGCGTTAAACAACTAATGACAAAGACATAACTGGCATGGGCTAGCAGGCAGAAGTTGTGCCCGAACGACGTGAATGTAAGACCCTTGGCAGTGCCCACTCTGAGACACTGCTCCACAGTCTGGTGCCAGTGCCCAGGTGGACGTTGTACCTGGCGATCTGTGAAGTAGACCAACAAAGTGAGTTTCATGACATGTGTCAAATTTGACAGCTGCCCCGTTCCCAGTCCCTCTTTAAAGTTGTTACAGTATATCCCAGTGGCGGCACTACGGGTCGTTGGGGGTGGGGGGGTCGTGACCACTCCACCCACACCCTCATCCACACCCTTATCCACACCCACAACCACTTCAACACCCACACCCACACCCACTTCCTCATACACCCACACCCGCACCCGCACCCAAACCCACACCCACACCCACACCCACACCCAAACCCAAACCCACACCCGCACCCGCACCCGCACCCGCACCCACACCCAAACCCGCACCCGCACCCGCACCCACACCCTCACCCTCACCCTCACCCGCACCCGCACCCGCACCCGCACCCGCACCCACACCCACACCCAAACCCACACCCGCACCCACACCCAATCTCACATCAACACCCACACACATACCAACACCCACACCCACATGAAACACCTAAACCCACACCCACACCCACACCCACACCCACACCCACACCCACACCAACACCTACTCCTTCACTCACACCCACATCCTTTCGAAATTTTGAAAATAACATATGGGCCCCAATGACCTCAAGTAAAACATTCTTCTATAGTAGTTTTTTCCCCGGTCAAACGGACGCAGAGATCATAATGGGTCCTATTCGGGGATTTGATAATCAGTAGATCCAGGCACTGGTAAGGAAGGCAACTCAGCACGGCAAATTGCGGCTGTAGTCAATCCGCGCCATTGACAAATGAGACACAACGAAGGAACGCAACTGTGCGCAACGAATCGCGACGACATTGACCATTGGGAACCTATGCCCTAGATTCTGGCCAATTTCAACCATGGTCAACATCTCATACAGGAAAAAACATAATTCAAATTATTAATAAACAGTCCAGGTCGGGACGAGGCTGTGTGGTACACTGAAGGGCGAGACGATTGAGATGTCTTTGACAACAAAGCTTCCCGTGTCCCACTTTTGAGTAGGGACGAGCTCTCTATCGGAAGCAAAAGAAAATACAACTACACCATTTGGTTCGGTATTCAGTGTTATTCACGGACTGTTCGTTAATCCATACTTTTCTGAATTGTAATCAATGTGTCAATGACGATAAAAAATATAACAAACCTTTCAGCAACTAAACACACTCCATGTTAATGAAGTAGTTCATCAATACCCATAGATCAATATCAAATAATATTCCCGTATACAATATAGCAGGGGAAAAAGGTCTAACTGGTTCTCGGCTTTCTCCGCGCGCTGTGGTTTGAAGAGACGGAGCCCAGCTCGAAACGATCACAATGGGCTATTACCATTATCTTGATCGCATAAACATGCTGCAATAAACAAAACAAACACGCCCTTCTAGAACCAGCGAACTACATCAGACGCTGTGCTAGTCTGGAACAGTTTCCAGTTTCTGTTTCCATATTTTTGGCATTCATTCGAAACACCATCGACGAACAAACGAATTTGTATATAATTGTTTAAATTCCTAGTGACCGCATCAGTGGTCTAGTGGTTAGAAGGTCTGCTCGGAGAGGGGAAGGGGTTCGACCCCCGACCGCGTCATACCTAAAGACGTTAAGAAATGGTACTTGTTGTTACCCTGCCTGGTGTTCGGGAGTAGACGGATTGAATAGAACAAGAACTGGTCGGTTCGGAGTCAGAACTCGCTGTCTGAGTGGGGTATCCATGCTAAACCACCGCGTGGTATCCTAGTAGATTAATAATAGAACACCAGTCCAGACTAGTGCAAGCAGCCATACACGCACACACGCGCGCGCACACACACACGCACATGTGCATGCACGCGAAATAATCTTGAACGTTAAACCACATATCACCTCAACTTAATTTTTTATTGAAAACAGAGGTTAAAATTATGGCACATATAGTTCACGGTATAATCATATTGTCGGCATACGTCAGAGCAAAAATACTGGTAGATGACGATGTTGATGATGATGATGGTCATGTTGATCGTGATGATCATCATTAATTCATAACACATGTTTGACTTGATTTTTATGCATTCCTGGGCGTTATCCCAAACTTTAAAAATGTTGGCCTACATGACAACTTCATGAGCTTATATGTCAGGTAGTGTATAGCCTTTGGATATGGAGATTTAAATTCCATTTTTATTGTTTTTATTTTGAAACATTACCAGAAAATATTAAAGAGTAGAATGTGGTATAGGTAATGTATTTATATTTAGCAATTATATAAGTTAAACAGTATATATTTCTACAATCATATGTATAGTGGATGGAGATGTATAAACAAGGGTTCCCCGTATAACTATCTCTCCTGTATAAAATACATCATACATTGTACAGAATAGTTCCATTAACATGCTTAGCAAAATGCAGGTGGTATTCAAATAAGTGTCATACAGGTAAATATATACATGTATATAGACATTCCAAAGTTTTACAGATACATAATTATAAAGCAATCTAGATGTCTAGATCGTGTATCACTTGTATATCACTAGTTTATAACTTGTGAATAGGAGGTATATTCCAACACTACCCATTTCATAAAATAATACATTCCTGGTTTCTGGTCGTGGATTAATATCTTCCGTTAAATTTGTATTTACATATAAAAAGTTTAAAGGTCATATTCACTCTTATAGAAATAACAATTACATCTAATAATCGTAAACTGAGGGCCAATGAATGATAATGCAAAGCATCTTCATAACGGTGTCCGTATTAACAATATCCTGAGTCATATAAGAATCTATCATATCTATGGCCTTTCCCACTGCACCCCCGGTATATATCGTCGCCGGCGACAATATATGCCCGGCGACAATATATGCCTTCAGTCCTGTGCCTTCTGCAACCATTACACTATGCAACTGTGTAGTATCCGAAAGCAGGGATGCAAGTGCTGATGTCAGGATGAACCGCCAGGTATGACACAAACAAGCCCGGTTAATGAATAAGCCGTTTACCTTTTTTACGAGAACATATTCCATATTGAAACAAACAGATCCATTCCAAAATCAATCAACGGAACACATCCGAACTGGTCCTGATCAATGGAGATCTATGTATTGAAGCACAGCCCTTGGTGTAACATTCTAAGTGCTTACGTTGCAACCAACAGCCAGGGTTAACCTAGGCGGGCGAAGGGGGATTGTGGCAAGGGGCGATCAGCTTATCGTCACATTGACTACAGAGGGATTCAATACTTTACCGCTTTGAGTGGGAGTGCCTGTAGCCAGCTGATTGCTTCATGTAATACAGGTGTGATGTAGGTATTTCTTTCAGCGTTATTGATTTGGCCAGGTATGTAGTGTGAACTATGATCCGGTGTAATGTGATAAGATTTAAGCAGAGGGCATAGACACACATCAATTCAAGGGGCAGATTGACGTATGCAGCTACCGAATGTCTTCAATACGCTGTTTACAATAAATTTCCCAAGATAGTTCACAATCTTGAAATGTTTTCAAAATGATGGCAACTTAAACGGTTCAACATGTTAAATAGAGATATTCAAGTAGAGTTTATTTCCTCCAAGTTTCAGGCCATAGGCCCATAGAACATACATTATATCAATATAGTGTATGCATAAATACATGAAAGGAATATCATACATAAATAATATATCAGTGAATTGTGAGTGACTCGCGTAATTATATAATCTAAAAGCGTGGTAGATATATTTAGCAAGTTGTGTAATAGTGTATTTACATTTAGAAGACATAAGATTTACAAATTTTTCATATGATGGATTAGTGTGAAAATATGTATCAATAAAATGTAAACGTAATGTTGAATATGAAGTACAAATAAGAAGGAAATGATATTCATTTTCAATGTAGTTGAAGTCCAATTTTTGACATTTTGGGCAAAATCTTTGGTTTTCTTCTATATTGGTATGACGTCCAGTTTCGATCATAAGTTTATGGCAGCTGCATCGGAATCTTTTTAGGGTTTCTTTATAGATCTTCTTGTTTACTTCCTGAAGGTACATTTCTATTGTTAATACCGATTTGAAAGTTACATATGTTTTAAGTTTTGATTTTTGAGATAGGTTTTCAATCCAACGTTGTTGACAACAGTCCACGATACGTTGTTTGAATTGTGAAATGAATATTTGCGGATCTCCAACATCTTGAATTATCCAGGCGTAGCCAAATCCATACTTGAAAAGAATGTTTTTTATATATGTAGCCCAGGATATACGGCCAGCTTCATCTAATTTGTACATCATTAAATACGTTTGCTTCGGTAGACGATCAGTGTTCATAGAGATTAATTTTGTCCAGTATTTAATACATTTACTAATATAATACACATATAATCGTTGTCTTCCAGTTTCACCAAGAACAGCGTCATTGCTTGCATTATTTGGTAGGTAAAGAATCCGTTTGTAATATTTAGTCTGTACCATCTCTATAGTTTCGTAGTATTGGAACCCCCAAACTTCAGATCCATATGTTAATATTGGTAAAACCATGGATTCGAACATCTTGATTGCAGTAGTGATTGGTAATCCTCCACATAGATAGTTTATTTTATAGATATAATGACATACTTTTTCTGCTTGTTGTGCAAGTGTTGCCGTTGCTTTTGTCCATAGCAATTTAGGAGTGAAAAAAAGTCCCAAATATTTATAAGATGAAACAGTCTTTGGCCGAGACTCGATTATTTACAGACCGCCGTCATATAGCTGGAGTATCGCTGAGTGCGGCGTTAAACAACAAACCAACCAACATATACTTTAACCCGATAAAAACGTCATCATAATAATAAGCGGGCCTCAGAAATGAAAACAAGCACCGTACATCATTCAAATAACAATCGGAAGGAGTCATTAATGAACAACATATAATAACCGCGTCCTCTGAAAAACAAATGACATGGTTTTTTATTATACGTTTGGACGCTTGGAACACAGATATAATGCATGTGCTGTCTGAGACGTTAATGATGACTTTTCTCTGCGTTAATGAAGTATTTACGGTAATTGTAGTGAGATTTATGTGAAGACAAATCCGTTTTCTATGGAGGGTTGGACTTGAAGCTATACGTGTTTTATAGTGGTACTTGTTGACCCTCAAGGTGACAATACATACCCTCCCAGCAACACGGCCTAACGGGTATTTACTGAGACGAGAAATTATTTTACATTTTCAGAAGAATGTCTTTGATGGCGGACATGTAAATATCCCAGTATACACACACTTACAGTAACATAAGCATTACTTAGAGTGGGGGTCGGAAGCGCAGTAATCTAAGGCGTTGACCCCCTCAGGCTCTACAGAGTATGGGTTCGATTCCAGTAAGAACCTTGGTTTGTCGTAGGTTTAACAATATTAAGCGTATGTCTCCGTGATATAACCGTTAAACTGTTCAAAGCGACGTTAAACCAAAGACACACACCAACTCGTTACCCGGACATTAAATTCCTCTATCTCTAAACCAGGATTTTTTAGTTCATGCCTGTCAGCACATAACCCCTTTTCTAGCCATAATACAGCATTTGTAAGTCTCTGTATACAGACTGGCGTTCAACCACTAACACGTCCGCACTTCACAATATGCCATACACTTGTACTTAATCTATATAACAGGGCCATCGGCTCAAGCAAGCCTAGAGTTCTGATATGCGGGCCAGGAACAAACTATGGGGGTGCTTTAAGGGGAAGTACCTTCTCCGTTCAGGATCAGCCTGACTGCATCTGCGGATTTTCAAGTACCTCTCGTGAATTTATATAACATTGCTTTCTTATTTCGTCAAGGCTGTCGTGAGCCACTTACTGCCACAGGTAGCTGGCATCACCGGATGTCAGTTTGGTGATAGGTTAGGCTCAGTATAAAAAGTTACTTGTTTCTTTACTCTTTGAGACCGCCTCCGTGGTCTAGTGGTAGAGCGTCCGCCCGGAGAGCGGAAGGTCCGGGGTTAGGTCCCCGGCCGCGTCATACCAAAAGACGTTAAAAGATGGTACTTGTTGTTACCCTGTCTGGCGCTCGGCATTAAGGGGCTAAAACAAGGACTGTATACTGTGTCTGAGTGGGGTATTCATGTTAAACTGCGCCATGGTATGGCACTATAAATCGGCATCAGTCCGGACTAGTAGAAACAGCCACACACACACGTGCATGTACGTCGCTATTTAAGTGCAATATTCTGGACGCGACGTTAAACTCAATTTCATCTCACCTCACCTTTACTCTTTGAATATGTGAGGTGAAATGGGGTTTAACGTCGCGTTCAAGATTATTGCACTTATATAGCGACGTGTACATGTGCGGCACGTACGATCTAGTTATGTCAATTGTTATGTGGCAGTATATTTTATTATTAAACAATGGTTGTAACTGTGTTTCATCGTTTCTATTGAGATTCGGTAGACGCTTATTGCATTGGACAGTGATTAGTTGTCAGTAATATACTACTGTTTAATCGAAGCAGTTTTTAGGAAGTTACTATATTTACGAGTAGATGCTGGCGTGATATGTAAACCTCCTATATACCGTGGACTCATGAAAAATATTCTGTAACGTTCTAGTGCCGCTAGAGGGGGCACGGGTGGCCCAGTCGTCTAAGTGGCCGCGATTCGCTGTACAGAGTTACATCCCTTGGGCGCGCCAGAAACCTATGATTGTGGGTTCGAATCCCGATTCGCCCCGATTATGTTTCTAGGTTTGTCAGCACCATACCCGTACTCGTGGTTTTCACCAATGTCATAAGCTTCTGAGACCTACATTACTACGGGCTTTCCTCCCACATTAAGCTGTCACGCCGCGATATAACTGTAATACTGTTAAAAGCGGCATTAAACTCACTCACTCTAGTGCCGTTAGACTGGCGGGGGAACTGTGTAGAAATTTCAAGTAGCTTGTTAGGCTGTACATAAGGGGACAAGAGCATGATTACGTATCTCTCTCACGCATTTTATTAGATCGGGACCAGCTTTCACGTGAGGATCAATCATCATCCCCGATTCCCTGCTTAGCCTATCTCGGAAGCTTGACAACTGTCGCCGCCGGGTGAATATATATTATTATCACCGAATGTTGCTAGTTTTGTATCTTATTCTAACCACTGCCATCATATTATATATTGCCATCGAATATTGTGTACTGCCATTGTAATTGATGTGCAGTAATTTGAATTGATTTGCAAACTTGTGAATTTGGTAATACATTGTTGATTGTATGCCACTTGTTGGGTGTTTGTTGGTTTTACACTATTTTTTTTAAGTACAGATTTCTGGGTTAACATATTGTTTCAATTGGGTGAGTGAGTGAGTTAATATTTAACGTCACATCGGCAATATTTCAGCCATATCGTGTGTTTCAATTGGGAATCGACATTGGGAATGTAACACAATTTTATAGTTTAACATGGATACCCCTCTTAGTATACTGACTCCAAACCGACCAGTTTTATGCCCTTAATACCGAAGGCCTAGGGAGATAACAACACGTACTATCATATGGCCTCTTTCGGTATGACGCGACCAGAGTATCGAACAACCGACTTTCCGCTCTCAGGGCAGACGCTCTGTTCATTAAACCGGAGGCAGTCCTCTTTGCAATATGATGGTGTGAACATAATACAAAAAATACTGAATTGCCATAGTGTGTATGGAAAATAAATGTCACAAGTGTGTTGCTTGTATGAAGTCGACATTCCTGAGAAAGTCAATACGGATTTCACTGTATCTGCTTCTGTATGACACTGTGGTACTTGTTGTTACCCTGTCTGGCGCTCGACATTAAGGGGCTTAAACAAGGACAGGTCGGCTCGGAGTCAGTATACTGTGTCTGAGTGGGGTATTCATGTTAAACTGCGGCATGGTATCTCAGTGAGCTAGCACTATAAATCGGCATCAGTCCGGACTAGTACAAGCAGCCACACACACACACAGACACACACACGTGCATGCACGTCGTTATATAAGTGCAATAATCTTGGACGCGACGTTAAACCCCATTTCACCTCACCTGTTTGACACTGACAGTCAATGGGTATCTGAAACCATCATCCCTGATCTAGAGTGTACAGAACTCAAATAACCCTATACTGAAGCTGGAATGAGTGAGTTTTACGCTGCTTTTAGCAATGTTATTATTCCGACAGTATCACTGCGGG